CCGGCTTTGATTTCTCGCGGCGTTGTTTTTGAGTTTGTGGGAAAGTTCAAAGGATTTGGTAAGTATTGAATTACGTATTGAACTACCTTGTGAACGTGAATTACATGTCTTTTTCGTTTATGAACGAACAACTGACACTAGAGTTAGAGAACGTGAGTCGCCTTACCGATACATTCGTACGAGGAAGTTACAAGTCACAATTAGTTAAATTCAACATAATCAATTTTGTACTGAAAAATTCAATTTCCTATTTGACACTCGTGATACGTATCATTTCATTTCCATGAGAAAATGTGACTAAAAAACGTTTGATTTGAGTATCACTGCAATTCCTTGTATATATGTTCAACATGGTCCAGAAACAATGAACATCGAGACCCATCAGATGTTAACAATGAAACAGTTAACTTCTCTATACGTTATACATGTCTAATTCTAGTCTTGACATTGTAAGCACAGACCTTGTTTTACATAGACGGAAAGGAAGGGACGAGGCGTCATAGACGGAAGTTATGTGTTTACATATGTATATTCAATGATGTGTAACTATCTTAATACCATTGCACCTTTTTCCTTTCTCTTAAACCCTGTGTCCTCGCCATATGTTGCACACCATTTTTCACCATCCTTGGTAACATATTAGTTCTCGTACCGTGTTTGCTTAAAAATGAAATCAACTTATTGAAGTCTTATACATTCAGTCTGACATTCGGCATCCTCGATACTCCAGGAGATATGCTAACGTTCACTCTCATCCTCCATACTACAGGGGTTATGCTAACGTTCGCTCTCATCCTCCATACTCCAGGCGATATGCTAACGTTCACTCTCATCCTCCATACTACAGGGGTTATGCTAACGTTCGCTCTCATCCTCCATACTCCAGGCGATATGCTAACGTTCACTCTCATCCTCCATACTCCACGTATTGAAGTCTTATACATTCAGTCTGACATTCGGCATCCTCGATACTCCAGGAGATATGCTAACGTTCACTCTCATCCTCCATACTCCGGGGGTTATGCTAACGTTCGCTCTCATCCTCGATACTCCAGGGGTTATGCTAACGTTCACTCTCATCCACGATACTCCAGGGGTTATGCTAACGTTCGCTCTCATACTCGATACTCCAGGGGTTATGCTAACGTTCACTCTCATCCACGATACTCCAGGGGTTATGCTAACGTTCGCTCTCATACTCGATACTCCAGGGGTTATGCTAACGTTCACTCTCATCCTCCAGACTCCAGGGGATATGCTAACGTTCACTCTCATCCTCCATGCTCCAGGGGATATGCTAACGTTCACTCTCATCCTGGATACTCCAGGGGATATGCTAACGTTACTCTCATCCTCCATACTCCAGGGGATATGCTAACGTTCGCTCTCATCCTCCATACTCCAGGGGTTATGCTAACGTTCACTCTCATCCTGGATACTCCAGGGGATATGCTAACGTTCGCTCTCATCCTCCATACTCCAGGGGATATGCTAACGTTCACTATCATCCTCCATACTCCAGGGGATATGCTAACGTTCGCTCTCATCCTCCATACTCCAGGGGATATGCTAACGTTCACTCTCCTCCTCCATACTCCACGGGTTATGCTAACGTTCACTATCATCCTGGATACTCCAGGGGATATGCTAACGTTCGCTCTCATCCTCCATACTCCAGGCGATATGCTAACGTTCACTCTCATCCTCCATACTACAGGGGTTATGCTAACGTTCGCTCTCATCCTCCATACTCCAGGCGATATGCTAACGTTCACTCTCATCCTCCATACTACAGGGGTTATGCTAACGTTCGCTCTCATCCTCCATACTCCAGGGGTTATGCTAACGATCGCTCTCATCCTCCATACTCCAGGGGATATGCTAACGTTCGCTCTCATCCTCCATACTCCAGGGGTTATGCTAACGTTCACTCTCATCCACGATACTCCAGGGGTTATGCTAACGTTCGCTCTCATCAGGGGTTATGCTAACGTTCACTCTCATCCTGGATACTCCAGAGGATCTGCTAACGTTCACTCTCATCCTCCATACTCCACGTATTGAAGTCTTATACATTCAGTCTGACATTCGGCATCCTCGATACTCCAGGAGATATCCTAACGTTCACTCTCATCCTCCATACTCCAGGGGTTATGCTAACGTTCGCTATCATCCTGGATACTCCAGGGGTTATGCTAACGTTCACTCTCATCCTGGATACTCCAGAGGATATGCTAACGTTCACTCTCATCCTCCATACTCCACGGGTTATGCTAACGTTCACTATCATCCTGGATACTCCAGGGGATATGCTAACGTTCACTCTCATCCTCCATACTCCAGGGGTTATGCTAACGTTCACTCTCATCCTCCATACTCCAGGGGTTATGCTAACGTTCACTCTCATCCTCCATACTCCAGGGGTTATGCTAACGTTCACTCTCATCCTCCATACTCCAGGGGTTATGCTAACGTTCACTCTCATCCTCCATACTCCAGGGGTTATGCTAACGTTCACTCTCATCCTCCATACTCCAGGGGTTATGCTAACGTTCACTCTCATCCTCCATACTCCAGGGGTTATGCTAACGTTCACTCTCATCCTCCATACTCCAGGGGTTATGCTAACGTTCACTCTCATCCTCCATACTCCAGGGGTTATGCTAACGTTCACTCTCATCCTCCATACTCCAGGGGTTATGCTAACGTTCACTCTCATCCTCCATACTCCAGGGGTTATGCTAACGTTCACTCTCATCCTCCATACTCCAGGGGTTATGCTAACGTTCACTCTCATCCTCCATACTCCAGGGGTTATGCTAACGTTCACTCTCATCCTCCATACTCCAGGGGTTATGCTAACGTTCACTCTCATCCTCCATACTCCAGGGGTTATGCTAACGTTCACTCTCATCCTCCATACTCCAGGGGTTATGCTAACGTTCACTCTCATCCTCCATACTCCAGGGGTTATGCTAACGTTCACTCTCATCCTCCATACTCCAGGGGTTATGCTAACGTTCACTCTCATCCTCCATACTCCAGGGGTTATGCTAACGTTCACTCTCATCCTCCATACTCCAGGGGTTATGCTAACGTTCACTCTCATCCTCCATACTCCAGGGGTTATGCTAACGTTCACTCTCATCCTCCATACTCCAGGGGTTATGCTAACGTTCACTCTCATCCTCCATACTCCAGGGGTTATGCTAACGTTCACTCTCATCCTCCATACTCCAGGGGTTATGCTAACGTTCACTCTCATCCTCCATACTCCAGGGGTTATGCTAACGTTCACTCTCATCCTCCATACTCCAGGGGTTATGCTAACGTTCACTCTCATCCTCCATACTCCAGGGGTTATGCTAACGTTCACTCTCATCCTCCATACTCCAGGGGTTATGCTAACGTTCACTCTCATCCTCCATACTCCAGGGGTTATGCTAACGTTCACTCTCATCCTCCATACTCCAGGGGTTATGCTAACGTTCACTCTCATCCTCCATACTCCAGGGGTTATGCTAACGTTCACTCTCATCCTCCATACTCCAGGGGTTATGCTAACGTTCACTCTCATCCTCCATACTCCAGGGGTTATGCTAACGTTCACTCTCATCCTCCATACTCCAGGGGTTATGCTAACGTTCACTCTCATCCTCCATACTCCAGGGGTTATGCTAACGTTCACTCTCATCCTCCATACTCCAGGGGTTATGCTAACGTTCACTCTCATCCTCCATACTCCAGGGGTTATGCTAACGTTCACTCTCATCCTCCATACTCCAGGGGTTATGCTAACGTTCACTCTCATCCTCCATACTCCAGGGGTTATGCTAACGTTCACTCTCATCCTCCATACTCCAGGGGTTATGCTAACGTTCACTCTCATCCTCCATACTCCAGGGGTTATGCTAACGTTCACTCTCATCCTCCATACTCCAGGGGTTATGCTAACGTTCACTCTCATCCTCCATACTCCAGGGGTTATGCTAACGTTCACTCTCATCCTCCATACTCCAGGGGTTATGCTAACGTTCACTCTCATCCTCCATACTCCAGGGGTTATGCTAACGTTCACTCTCATCCTCCATACTCCAGGGGTTATGCTAACGTTCACTCTCATCCTCCATACTCCAGGGGTTATGCTAACGTTCACTCTCATCCTCCATACTCCAGGGGTTATGCTAACGTTCACTCTCATCCTCCATACTCCAGGGGTTATGCTAACGTTCACTCTCATCCTCCATACTCCAGGGGTTATGCTAACGTTCACTCTCATCCTCCATACTCCAGGGGTTATGCTAACGTTCACTCTCATCCTCCATACTCCAGGGGTTATGCTAACGTTCACTCTCATCCTCCATACTCCAGGGGTTATGCTAACGTTCACTCTCATCCTCCATACTCCAGGGGTTATGCTAACGTTCACTCTCATCCTCCATACTCCAGGGGTTATGCTAACGTTCACTCTCATCCTCCATACTCCAGGGGTTATGCTAACGTTCACTCTCATCCTCCATACTCCAGGGGTTATGCTAACGTTCACTCTCATCCTCCATACTCCAGGGGTTATGCTAACGTTCACTCTCATCCTCCATACTCCAGGGGTTATGCTAACGTTCACTCTCATCCTCCATACTCCAGGGGTTATGCTAACGTTCACTCTCATCCTCCATACTCCAGGGGTTATGCGAACGTTCACTCTCATCCTCCATACTCCAGGGGTTATGCGAACGTTCACTCTCATCCTCCATACTCCAGGGGTTATGCTAACGTTCGCTCTCATCCTCGATACTCCAGGGGTTATGCTAACGTTCGCTATCATCCTGGATACTCCAGGGGTTATGCTAACGTTTGCTCTCTGCACCCCCGGAGTTTGAAGATTAGTTTGATCCTTTGGTGTAACCATATTTTCAGTCTTTTTGCTCATATGCCCAATTTCATCTCTATGATATTGAGAAATGTGTAGGACAAAAAAAAATTGTCTCTTGAACAACATAAACAAATATTCAGTTTTTAATAAAAAAAATCACAAATTTTAGAAACAAATAAAATTGTCTATAGAAAATAGATTGTTATGTCAATTTCTTTAGACGTGGTAAGAACGCCCCATATCTTTAGACGTGGTAAGGACGCCCCAATATCTTTAGACGTGGTAAGGACCCCCAATATCTTTAGAAGTGGTAAGGACGCCCCATATCTTTAGATGACGTGGTAAGGACGCCCCGTATCTTTAGAGGTGGTAAGGACGCTTCCATTAAATGTTCTTATGTCTTGTGAATTTTACAATACATGGGAGATAACCATCACAAATCGATAAAAATTGTACATGGTACATGTTCATGAATGAAGTATAACAACTTTTTCTGAATAACCAATAGGCTTTGGTTCAAACGAATGACCTTGACCCTCTCCAGCGTCACTTATGTTGAATCATTTTTTATTTTTACATAGAATTATCTTCTTGTTTTATTCGAAAGAGAAACTTAACACACATCTGAAAATGTCTATAAATTTTATTTACATACATGTATATCAACCTCATAAAAGCATGTAGTTTCACATGCACACCTAACAGAACCACACAGTAGAGGACAGGTGTTAACCTCTGTTAAAATTCATCAACTGGATCATCCATATCACAAATCCAGTTAAAACGAAGCAAGGTCATATATCTAAGGTGAGGACAAATACTGGGGTCAAGATCACTCACTTAGCAACAACCCAGTGTCAGGGTGAATGACTAAACCAATATCTAGATCATTTTTAGGATGAATATAGTCTGGGGATATTCCCCATAACATGTCACCCTGCACAAAGACTGATATATATTTATGTATATTTACAATGATAAAACAGGAGGCATCTGTACTACGAATGTTTTCCTTTTAGAAAAACGTGGATTACCGGTACTTTAGCCACTGTCTTTACTATGTAATACTACTACTGACCAATCACAGTACTGATTTAACAGAAACATAAACTATGGGGTAGTGTCTTACTGATGTAGAGACATCCGACGTTGACCAAGAATTCTTACCTTGTCTACATACAGCTAGTCATACAAATCTTGGCAGTAAATCCTCTGAACGGTAATATATTTAATCATACTGAGATGTAACCAAACCAATCACTTTCCGACCATTTTCATCAGTGAAGCATAGAAGTATTAAAATTGTACTCAACTAAAAGTTTTCACATGGTATTTTTCATAATTTTTTATTGATGTCTTTTTGAAGGACTTTTTTCTGAAGTATTGAATGAAATCATGAACTTTTCTTCACACCTAGTGATGACTAACCAAATAAACCGTATCACCATTTTGGACTGTTGTTCTAGTTGGTAAAAATTGGAAAGATAGAAAAATGTGAACTGAAGTTATTAGCCTTACTGACCCATTCTGTGATAACGGACCATTAAACTTTTAATAACTAAGTCAATGAAACAATGTTGATTCCTTATATCTTTTTGTAATCAATTTTGCCAAAAATAATTGAAGCACAGAGAGTAAAAGATGAACTTACAGGTTCTGAACAATGAAAGTGAAGAGAAAGGGGCAGATTCACAACAATGTTATATACAAGTACACAGTAAAATGTAAACATTAGAAATAATTTCATCTCATAAAACTACACACTATTATCACAGTACACCTCTGCATACTTGACTTGAAACAATTCATGTTGATTTCGTTAATAAAATAAAACATGTCATATAATCTGTTACATGATAAAAACTAGTTTAATATGCCCTTATCAGCAATATTTGCATCTCCGGATTTTTCAGTGAAAATTATGTCTAATATTATCATAAAATATGGCAAACACACTTCACGTATGCACCAGGATGTGCATTCCATGAAAAAACAGAATATAACAACATACAATACAAATCAAGGTACTTATGTACTGAAGGTACGCAGCACACCTGTAGACCGTGATTACCCAGTGATAATTAGGTCAATACTCAGTTGTTACCTAACACAGCCAATTCCACAGTAGCATTATATTGATTGTGTCTTCCATTTGCACTGTGAATTTTTTTTAAAGATTATTCCATGGTTATTCAACATGAATACTGTTACGTCGCTGTACGTCAGAATACCCATAGAGTTGTTACCAACATGAATACCCTTACGTCGCTGTACGTCAGAACACCCATAGAGTTGTTACCAACAAGAATAAACATTCAATTTTATCAAAGCTAGAGTATGTCATGGGGCCATGAGATTTCCTATCAATGATTGTAGAGGGCACACAGTATACCTTCTTGAAAATAAGTATACAATTATGCTGCATAAGAGGAAAATAACAATTTTATCAGCATACAAATGATATGGAACACACCTTCCTACCTCCACACCTCCACATGATCCAATAGTATCAGCACAAATGATCACAACATACTAATGTCATCACAACATTCACACGAGTCTCCCGTTAAAAAATCTAATATTTGTCTCTAAAAAACTCTGATTTCAGGTCTTGTTCATCCAGATATCTTATTGAGCCATGTTGAACTTGGCAGCCATTCTGGGTCGACGTTTCTGTTGCTGCCCGGGAGATTTTGATGGCTGGTGGCTTTGTCGTGGAGATTTAGCGGGAGTTACTTCCCTTGGAATCTGTCCGTTTAACGCTGACGTTACACCTTGCGGCTCCTGTGCAGAAGACATGGGCTTCTGAGGTTTACCACCAAACAAGTCGCGGGCCGTGTTGTGGGGTTCGTGCCTGCTGCCTTCCCCATCTGACCTTAGACTAACATCTGATCTTGGACTTGTGTCAATTACCTGTCCGTTACTGTCTCTACTTTCTGATTCCCGTCGCTTACTTGGGGTTTTACGGGTGACCTAGAAACAATGCAAAGATATGTCTCGTCACCTAGCAACAGTATGTTACAGTACACAGAACACCCGGCTAAAGTACCTTCATGTGTCTTATTGCCAGTAACAGATTTGTTTTGGTCAACAATTTCCAGCTTAAACACATTGAAACACATTTTAAAACTTCTCCTAAGAGTACTAGTGATGTATTTAAGTCTTACCATCTGATAGAGTAGAAAAACTTATGATTCTGGTAGCCTGGACTTTGATGTAAAAAATAATACCAGACTAAAGACATGCTACATTTGTCATTTTCTATTTAAAACATACATTTAAAGATTTACAAACTTCCTTAAGTTGAAAATAGCTCTAGATATGATTTTAATTTATTTTCAATAAAGCACTACTACAAATTTATTGTGGAACACAGTAAATGGCCATTTGTTATCATCCCATTACCTGCATAGGTACAAACGGATTGGATTTTGGAGGAGAGGCGTCTTTGCTGTCACTGAAGACTTTGTTATCCGCTCTCTGATTGGGCGAGAATTTCTGCTGTTGTCTTTGTGCCGTATTGCCCTGATATGGACCCTGATTGGGTCCTTGGTTGTTGTTTCTGTTATCTTGATATTGATTGGCTGTCTGGTGCTGCCCTCGGCTATCATGATAGTGAGAATGTGTCTGGTGCTGCTGTTGATGGTATCTGTTATCTGAATACTGATTGGCTGATTGGTTTCCACGATAGTTGGGTGGTTGTGCATGATGACCTCTAGGTTGTTCAATAAATTCTGAATATGAAATAAAATAGGTATGTGTGTATAAATTCTCTTTTTGTTCACAATTTAATTTTTTGTTTCATTTCAGGAAACAAACTGATTGCTGAGCAGATAAACAGAGTAAGGGGGTACAAGAACAACCTGAAATTTGAACATCAAATATGAATATATACATATCAAATAAGTTCAGGTCTGATTAGATTTTCAAGGTCAAGGGTCAAATGTCAAGTTCAAAGTGTCATAAAAGTGCAGTAAAGGCATACTGCATTTCACAAACACAGGTTCTCATCTAACTTTACTTTTTCTTTCTGTATTTCTCTAAATGCTTAAAATAACATGGTACTCTCAGCTTCCAGGATAGTGTCCAACAGAAAGGACGGCGATGAGTTTATATTTTATTGTAACAGAACAGGACTTAGCAATTAACATACACACATGAATTAATAAACAAGAAATCCACGAAAGTGGATGTGTCGCCTGCGCAGGAAGCTGGGAGATTACGAAGAAATAGATACACCTTTCATTTCAAGAAATAATGTTAAAAGTAAGAAATAATCATAGATTGTTTTTGGATGGCATCATTTTGTTATATAATCTGTTATTCTGGGCAGAATTTAAGGAACTTGCTATGGATACTCATTGTCTCAATTCCAAGTTTAATTTGAAAGATTTGTCGGATGGTTTCCCATAAATAAATGAATAAACTTGTGGATTATGATGTTAAACAGCTAGTGTTGTCAATAACATTTGGAGTAAGACGGCATTTCAGAGGTATACACGGTGGGTCAAGTGGTAGATCGAAGCCGTCCAGTATACAGTTTTAGTGAAGTTTCTATTTATAGTAACAGTAACCTTGACCATTGACCTGCGGACCTGAAAAGCAATCCCAAGCAAGCACTTTTGGTAAGGAAGCACTGCATGTAGTTTGAGTTTGATCGGCCCAAGGAAACTCAAGTTATCGCACGAAAACCTCTGTTCGGACGCCGACGCCGACGCCGCCGACAAAGCAATACCTATGTGTCACTAGCTTTTTGCAGGCGACACAAAAACTATGGGAAATGTGATGAAGAGATGGGATCAGGTGGCTCAACGGGGAAAATGAAATTAAATATGCAACATACCAACTAAGGTCACCACCCATAGTCCTGAGATTGAAAACGAACAAAAATGAAAGACTGTTGTTTCAAAAATTCAAACAACATATATGTCCTGATACAACCTTTGATGTTCAGCATACTAAACATTTCACAATTCACACATGTGATACTTAATCGTACCTAATACAGGTATATAAACCATTCCCTGCTCAATATGTGATAATCGAAATGTTTAAAACAAGCATTTTTTTTTTCAAATACCTACGGGCAGTTTTTCAAGCAGTAAAAGGAAACACACATTTTTTGGGGCTTAATGTGCATTATCCCAATATTTTGCTATCTTTCCCTACCCCTTTACAAGTCTGTGGAAAAATAGGCCTGCTCTGCCCTGCTGCAGGTTTTCATTAATTATTTTTATTTGAACTGGCCTTTTTCATTTGAACCTTCCCATCACATATGTAACATGCAGATCACAAACCTTTAGGTGAGACAGGTTTGAAGGCAGAGTTTGGTGAGGAGAACTGAGGGTGCTGCATCATCTGGGCTGGCATCCCACCGAACGCCCTTGGTGCCATCAAAGGGTGCATGGCTTGAGGAGGCATCTGGATAAAATAAATACAGGTGTCACTAAACAGACGATCAGTCAGAGACATAAAATATCAGATTGTATACACTAGGGCTGCCACGATATATCACGATACTCTGATACACAATGGGAGGTCACGATACACCAACATTGTCTTTCCCTGTTGTTTCAGATTTTGCTCTTCCTGAATTCACTCTACTCATATTTGTTCCCAAGTATCTGTTCCCAATTGGCAAGTGACAGCTCCATTCCACATGTACGGCGAAAGACGTGAGCTGTGTGCATATTTAAAGTCTGGACCAACTCTTGTTTCCTGTTGTAATATTATCATTAAAGATTTGCAACATATCTTTTCATTTTGCTTATTACTATATGTATCGTGATACGCATTTCTATCGGACCACAGTATTGTGATATGTATTGTATCGGGACCACAGTATTGTGATAGGTATCGTATCGTGACCACAGTATTGTGATACGTATTGTCATATTAATGTATTGTTGCAGCCCTAGTATACACACAATACAGTTGTATTACAGCCCTAGTATACACACAATACAGCTGTGTTACAGCCATAGTATACACACAATACAGATGTGTTACAGCCCTAGAATACACACAATACAGCTGTATTGCAGCCCTAGTATACCCACAATACAGCTGTATTGCAGCCCTTGTATACACACAATACAGCTGTGTTACATCCCTAGTATACACACAATACAGCTGTGTTGCAGCCCTAGTATACACACAATACAGTTGTGTTACAGCCCTAGTATACACACAATACATCTGTGTTACAGGCCTAGTATACACACAATACAGCTGAGTTACAGCCATAGTATACACACAATACAGATGTGTTACAGCCCTAGTATACACACAATACGGCTGTGTTACAGGCCTAGTATACACACAATTCAGCTGTGTTACAGCCCTAGTATACACACAATCCAGCTGTGTTACAGCCCTAGTATACACACAATAAAGCTGTATTGCAGCCCTAGTATACACACAATACAACTGTGTTACAGGCCTAGTATACACACAATTCAGCTGTGTTACAGCCCTAGTATACACATAATACAGCTGTGTTACAGCCCTAGTATACACTCAATACAGCTGTGTTACAGCCCTTGTATACACACAATCCAGCTGTGTTACAGCCCTTGTATTCACACAATACAGCTGTGTTACAGCCCTTGTATACACACAATCCAGCTGTGTTACAGCCCTAGTATACACACAATCCAGCTGTGTTACAGCCCTTGTATTCACACAATACAGCTGTGTTACAGCCCTCGTATACACACAATACAGCTGTGTTACAGGTCTAGTATACACACAATACAGCTGTATTGCAGCCCTAGTATACCCACAATACAGCTGTATTGCAGCCCTAGTATACCCACAATACAGCTGTATTGCAGCCCTAGTATAAACACAATACAGCTGTATTACAGCCCTAGTATACACACAATACACCTGTGTTACAGCCCTAGTATACACACAATACAACTGTGTTACAGGCCTAGTATACACACAATACAGCTGTTTTACAGCCCTAGTATACACACAATACAACTGTGTTACAGCCATAGTATACACACAATACAGATGTGTTACAGCCCTAGTATACACACAATCCAGCTGTGTTACAGCCCTTGTATTCACACAATACAGCTGTGTTACAGCCCTTGTATACACACAATACAGCTGTGTTACAACCCTTGTATACACACAATACAGCTGTGTTACAGGTCTAGTATACACACAATACAGCTGTATTGTAGCCCTAGTATACACACAATACAGCTGGGTTACAGCTCTAGTATACACACAATACAGCTGTATTACAGCCCTTGTATACACACAATACAGCTGTGTTACAGCCATAGTATACACACAATACAGCTGTGTTAATATTAATGTATTGTTGCAGCCCTAGTATTCACACAATACAGTTGTATTACAGCCCTAGTATACACACAATACAGTTGTGTTACAGCCCTAGTATACACACAATCCAGCTGTGTTACAGCCCTTGTATTCACACAATACAGCTGTGTTACAGCCCTAGAATACACACAATACAGCTGTATTGCAGCCCTTGTATACACACAATACAGCTGTGTTACAGCCCTAGGATACACACAATACAGCTGTGTTACAGCCCTAGTATACACACAATACAGCTGTGTTACAGCTCTAGTATACACACAATACAGCTGTATTGCAGCCCTTGTATACACACAATACAGCTGTATTCAATAAATAAGGATAAATGCTGAGAATAGTATACAATGTAAAGTACAAAGAATGTATTTTCTGTTTATCCCGATGTGTCAGTATATTAGCTTCATTTCTACCATAATAAGCCCCTGTTTATCGTACGATTATCACCTTGTGTAATTTTGCTGTTTCTGAACTAGGGAACATGGCTACTCGATACTTATGCTCTGTAGGTTCCTCTGGCACTACTACCCATCTAAGATATAGGACAGTACAGTGATGATGGCTTCAATTTGACAAGTTTACAACCACTCAGTACTAATAATTCAATACAAAATAATGTCACAAAATCATCTGAAACAAAATCTGGGTTAGGAGCTGTAAACCTGGCAGTGCCAATTTTGAATGTAAACTTGTCACCTTAGTCAAAGTCTTACACATTGTTGATTATGTAAATCTAACTCTTGTAGTTAATTTTCAATCTTTCAAAAGAAAGAACTCACATTAAGTAACTGAACTTGCATTTGACCTAAGAAACCCATCATTCTCTGCAGAAATGCTATGTAGCATCTAGTGTGTAAGTTATTTATAAGACCAAAGCCAAACTCAGTCATCAGAATCTGTCAAGGTGCAACCGACAAGATTTGTATATAAATAAACACAGTCATTAGCTTGGCAGTTATTTTCGACAACCGACACTGGAAGTGAACACCTAACAAAATAAGGAAGATAAAAACAGACAGAGATCCCTCTATATATGCCTATATATCGTGTTCTGGCAACAAAATGCATCTCTACTTTACAGAACAGAAATATGTTTCTGAATCATACAAATGGATTTTGCCGACATTTTCTAACATCTTCAAAGCCAGTTAAGGTTTTACAGTCCCAAATTTACGTATATTTAAGTGAAAAATGTAGAATTGATGTGAAAATATCAATCATCTTTTAAGGGAAGTCTATGAATCACAACAAAGGGAGATAATCCCATCACAAACACTTACCAAGTGAACAAGCATTACACCAGCAGCACTTTCAGCTGCCTCTTCTTTACTCCTTGTTTTTGACCCCATGAACCTATGTCCATTGGAGAGAGTTACTACACAGACGAAGGACCCAGGCTGAAATCAACAACTTAGTTCCATTATTTTATATTTACATTTGCTCTGCATCCTTCCATTACAATGCATTAAGAAGGCAAATGTTGTTATGAGCCTACCGGGCTGTATAAAGTTTGTCATCAATAGCAATGTGTGTTATAGGACCATAACAACATTTGCTAAAACATTCAGTGTTTAAGTATTTAGTGAATTTGTGTATAACTGTCCTCCAAAGCAATACACTTTTTTGGATACAATAATAATATTTGAATTGAGAGAAAAAAATTGGAGTATATGTTTTTGTTTTAAGTTTTGTTCTCTATCCTGTTTTTTAATACATACCTTGCCACCAAAATCGTATTTCGGTTCCTGTAGACCCATCATCTTACTCCAGTTAATTAACTCCAGCACTGGGTTCCTGGGGACAGAACAAGTATCACTCTCACTACCTTGGAAAAGCTAGTTGATAAATATGTTCATATGGGATACAATCATGTCAAAATGTCTAACTGTTGACATAATAGCATTGCCATGTTACTATCTGAACGTATTACCAATGATATTATCCTGGTATACCATGTAGATTTAAGGCTGTATAAGTTGTAAACAACAGTGTCAGTGAACTGAAATATCTCAGGAACATAATGACACACTGTCATAATGCATTGACACACTAAAAATACTACTGTCAACAAGAACATTTCAGCACATTGAACAGGTTGAAGAACTGTAGCCCAATACTATTCACACAGAAACATTTTCATCGTTTAAGAACCTCTCAAGTCCAGATCCTGAAGACATTCCAGATGATTCTCAAAATAGTCTTGTTTTCAGAAAGAGTGATGATCCTTGTTTCACTGATCAGGAAACTTCTTAATTACAAACTTATTTTTAGAATAGCTAAACTGCATACTGTTTTAATTTTTGTAGTTTCTCTACAAAAAAACCCGAAAAAAAACAAGCAAACTTCCAAGCTTGAGGCTTTTCAGGCTTGTCCTTAGAAATGTTCCCCGTTTTGTTGAAATTGAGAAACATCTTAACATGGATACCCACTCTACAGTTTCTCCACATGGCTGTCCTAATACCTCCTAGCTCTCCTACCTTCGTGCTGGTTTCTGTTGTTGGTTTCCTTGGTGATGACCTCTGAACTGTGGGGCTATCTGAAGACCAGGTGGGGGTCCCCTGGACTGGGTCTGGTACCGTGGAGACTGTTGCTGGGGCTGACTAGTCATCTGATGCTGCATCATGGCTGGGGGTGGAACCTGTAATGGTGGAGGGTAAGGATGAACCATTCCTGGGGGCATGGATACATTGGGACTTGTGTAGGCCCCTGTGGGTGGGTTGGACATTGAAGTGGAAGCTTGGCTGGAACTTGTCGATCCCTGGGGTCGGGGGTCAGATTTGTGGGAGTCATCACCAGTGACTGTCTCCTGTTTTACCTCGGCTGTCGCTACATGCTTAGCTGGCTGCATCACACCTGAAACACATGTATTTGAAAGGCTTTATCAATCAGTAAACTGGTTTAGATGTTTAGGCTCAAGGAGTAAATCTTCATTTTCTACAATATTTAAAGGATTTGATAAAAACATTTTTTTCCAGCAATATTACATTTGCAGTCCACATAAAAACTCAGAATTCATCCTTGAGCATGACAACATTTTCATGAAAACGGACCAAGACATATTTTCTGATACATTGCAGGGTGACCAACCCTGACAACCACAATATATTGAATGTTGCTTGTGAACTGTCTATGCACATGAGTGAGTCTCTATATAATTACAGCCATTACAGCATACAAGAGACAAAATGCTTCCTGTTAACGGGATGTCTGAACAGAACTTCTTATCCTTATTATACAGCACTGCATGAGTTAACATGTACCATCTGCTTAAATTTGTGGATAAGATCTGACTCAAAAGTGTGAAGAATAGACACCATTCTGCAGGTAAGATCAGCCAAGCCTATCTGCTTGGATACAAATATTTATTTGTATGGATCAGATCAGAAAAATGTTTAGAAACTATCCCTTAGAATTCCAATTGTTCTTTACAAGTTTTCAGTCCATACCATCAAATAATTCCTGAACGGACATCTGTCTCCCATAGTTTTTAGCACTAGGTGGCGCTGTTGTATCAGCTTCCTGTTTCCCAGGTCCAGGCTCCAGTGATGTTTTCACCAAACCAATGTTCAACATTTGTTTGATTTCAGCCTACATACAAAACAAGAAAAAGGTGTTGTTCAATATACATGTATAAAAGACTTTTTTATAACTTATTCCATTCAAACAAATAATTATTTTAAAAGTGTACATACTGTTTAACATGGCAGCCAGAGGCCAGGCTTAATGGAGAAATTAAATCATTGCTACATTCTCTAGGAGAAATTAAATCATTGCAACATTCTCTAGGAGAAATTAAATCATTGCTACATTCTCTAGGAGAAATTAAATCATTGCTACATTCTCTAGGAGAAATTAAATCATTGCTACATTCTCTTGGAGAAATTAAAACATTGCTACATTCTCTAGGAGAAATTAAATCATTGCTACATTCTCTAGGAGAAATTAAATCATTCTCTAGGAGAAATTAAATCATTGCTACATTCTCTTGGAGAAATTAAAACATTGCTACATTCTCTAGGAGAAATTAAATCATTGCTACATTCTCTAGGAGAAATTAAATCATTCCTACATTCTCTAGGAGAAATTAAATCATTGCTACATTCTCTAGGAGAAATTAAATCATTGCTACATTCTCTAGGAGATATTAAATCATTGCTACATTCTCAAGGAGAAATTTTGCTCTAGGAGAAATTGAATCATTTTGCTCTAGGAGAAATTAAATCATTGCTACATTCTCTAGGAGAAATTAGATCATTGCTACATTCTCTTGGAGATATTAAATCATTGCTACATTCTCTAGGAGAAATTAGATCATTGCTACATTCTCTAGGAGAAATTAAATCATTGCTACATTCTCTAGGAGATATTAGATTATTGCTACATTCTCTAGGAGAAATCAAATCATTGCTACATTCTCTAGGAGAAATTAGATTATTGCTACATTCTCTAGGAGAAATTTAATCATTGCTACATTCTCTAGGAGAAATTAGATCATTGCTACATCCTCTAGGAGAAATTAAATCATTGCTACATACTCTAGGAGAAATTAAATCATTGCTACATCCTCTAGGAGAAATTAAATCATTGCTACATACTCTAGGAGAAATTAAATCATTGCTACATTCTTTAGGAGAAATTAAATCATTGCTACATTCTCAGGAGAACTTAAATCATTGCTACATTCTCAAGGAGAAATTAAATCATTTTGCTCTAGGAGAAATTGAATCATTTTGCTCTAGGAGAAATTAAATCATTTTGCTCTAGGAGAAATTGAATCATTTTGCTCTAGGAGAAATTAAATCATTTTGCTCTAGGAGAAATTGAATCATTTTGCTCTAGGAGAAATTAAATCATTTTGCTCTAGGAGAAATTGAATCATTTTGCTCTAGGAGAAATTAAATCATTTTGCTCTAGGAGAAATTGAATCATTGCTACATTCTCTATGAGAAATTAAATCATTGCCACATTCTCAAGGAGAAATTAAATCATTTTGCTCTAGGAGAAATTGAATCATTGCTACATTCTCTATGAGAAATTAAATCATTGCCACATTCTCTAGGAGAAATAAAATCATTGCTACATTCTCTAGGAGAAATTCAATCATTGCTACATGCTCTAGGAGAAATTAAATCATTGTTTCATTCTCAGGAGAAATTAAATCATCGCTACATTCTCTAGGAGAAATTAAAACATTGCTACATTCTCTAGGAGAAACTAAATCATTACAACATTCTCTAGGAGAAATTAGATCATTGCTACATTCTCCAGGAGAAATTAAATCATTGCTACATACTCTAGGAGAAATTAAATCATTGCTACATCCTCTAGGAGAAATTAAATCATTGCTACATACTCTAGGAGAAATTAAATCATTGCTACATCCTCTAGGAGAAATTAAATCATTGCTACATACTCTAGGAGAAATTAAATCATTGCTACATTCTTTAGGAGAAATTAAATCATTGCTACATTCTCTAGGAGATATTAGATTATTGATACATTCTCTAGGAGAAATAAAATCATTGCTACATTCTCTAGGAGATATTAGATTATTGCTACATTCTCTAGGAGAAATCAAATCATTACTACATTCTCTAGGAGAAATTAGATTATTGTTACATTCTCTAGGAGAAATTTAATCATTGCCACATTCTCTAGGAGAAATTAGATCATTGCTACATTCTCCAGGAGAAATTAAATCATTGCTACATCCTCTAGGAGAAATTAAATCATTGCTACATTCTTTAGGAGAAATTAAATCATTGCTACATCCTCTAGGAGAAATTAAATCATTGCTACATCCTCTAGGAGAAATTAAATCATTGCTACATTCTCTCGGAGAAATTAAATCATTGCTACATTCTTTAGGAGAAATTAAATCATTGCTACATTCTTTAGGAGAAATTAAATCATTGCTACATACTCTAGGAGAAATTAAATCATTGCTACATCCTCTAGGAGAAATTAAATCATTGCTACATCCTCTAGGAGAAATTAAATCATTGCTACATTCTTTAGGAGAAATTAAATCATTGCTACATTCTTTAGGAGAAATTAAATCATTGCTACATACTCTAGGAGAAATTAAATCATTGCTACATCCTCTAGGAGAAATTAAATCATTGCTACATACTCTAGGAGAAATTAAATCATTGCTACATTCTCCAGGAGAAATTAAATCATTGCTACATTCTCTAGGAGATATTAAAACATTGCTACATTCTCTAGGAGAAATTCAATCATTGCTACATTCTCTAGGGGAAATTAAATCATTGCTACATTCTCTAGGAGATATTAGATTATTGCTACATTCTCTAGGAGAAATTTAATCATTGCTACATTCTCTAGGAGAAATCAAATCATTACTACATTCTCTAGGAGAAATTAAATAAGAGAAATTAAATCATTGCTACATTCTCAGGAGAACTTAAATCATTGCTACATTCTCAAGGAGAAATTAAATCATTTTGCTCTAGGAGAAATTGAATCATTTTGCTCTAGGAGAAATTAAATCATTTTGCTCTAGGAGAAATTGAATCATTTTGCTCTAGGAGAAATTAAATCATTTTGCTCTAGGAGAAATTGAATCATTTTGCTCTAGGAGAAATTAAATCATTTTGCTCTAGGAGAAATTGAATCATTGCTACATTCTCTAGGAGAAATCAAAACATTGCTACATTCTCTAGGAGAAATCAAAACATTGCTACATTCTCTAGGAGAAACTAAATCATTACAACATTCTCTAGGAGAAATTAGATCATTGCTACATTCTTTAGGAGAAATTAAATCATTGCTACATACTCTAGGAGAAATTAAATCATTGCTACATTCTCTAGGAGAAATCAAATCATTACTACATTCTCTAGGAGAAATTAAGTCATTGCCACATTCTCTAGGAGAAATAAAATCATTGCTACATTCTCTAGGAGAAATTTAATCATTGCTACATTCTCTAGGAGAAATTAGATTATTGCTACATTCTCTAGGAGAAATCAAATCATTACTACATTCTCTAGGAGAAATTAAATAATTGCTACATTCTCTAGGAGAAATTTAATCATTGCTACATTCTCTAGGAGATATTAGATTATTGCTACATTCTCTAGGAGAAATTAGATCATTGCTACATTCTCCAGGAGAAATTAAATCATTGCTACATCCTCTAGGAGAAATTAAATCATTGCTACATTCTCCAGGAGAAATTAAATCATTGCTACATTCTCTAGGAGAAATTAAATCATTGCTACATTCTCAGGAGAACTTAAATCATTGCTACATTCTCTAGGAGAAATTCAATCATTGCTACATGCTCTAGGAGAAATTAAATCATTGTTACATTCTCAGGAGAAATTAAATCATCGCTACATTCTCTAGGAGAAATTAAAACATTGCTACATTCTCTGTATATTGAGGTCTGAATCGGATATGACTTAAGTAACCTTGACTTTTCATCTGAGGTGTCCCAACTCTACACTGTCAATTATAGTGTAGTACTGTTTCTGCTGGTCTCTAAACCAGTGGACAATTTTTATTTATAATAACACATATAAAACATCTATATACGATAATCCCTCCAATAAATACACCAGAACACAGAGTAGCTAGCGCTGCCACCCATTTACACGTTCATCAAGCAACTGATAGTTAAAATTCAATTCAATTATTTTGGGTGCAACAGTATTTTAAAATTTTAAACATGGCATATGAAGAAAACCTTAAATTGTGTACCTTTCGCCCTCCCTAATGAAAGCGAATGTCATTACAGATACTATTTGTACACAACATACAATGCATAGTAATTATATGTGAAGGGCAAAATTAAGTAGGGTTGAACATGAATTTGATCAGCAAAGGGTGACTATTTGACCGAGCCAAACCCTCTTGGTATACAGTAATCAGATGCCTGATCTACCTGTAAATGGATGAAACCTTTAGCAACCCTGGCTTCTACTTTATGTATCTATTTCATTCTGCCTATAACACAAACACTATCTAATTTATTTCTGCATTATTTACTTCATACAAGTTTTTCACTTTTATTCTTGTGCTATAGCTTTGCATTATGATATATGTGTATCATGTCTCTATATCACTATCATTGAATTGATTTGAGAGCGTAACGGCATTATGCACCACCATAAAGTGGTACCCACCCTCCTATACTGTACACTCTGGAACAGTCTCCAGTTTAACGTGGCGCCCCACCCTCCTATACTGTACTCTCTGGGATACTCTCCAGTTTAACGTGGCGCCCCACCCTCCTAATCTGTATACTCTGGAATACTATCCAGTTTAACGTGGCGCCCCCCCCTCCTATACGGTACTCTCTGGAATAGTCTCCAGTTTAACGTGGCGCCCCCCCCTCCTGTACTGTAACCTCTGGAATACCCTCCAGTTTAACGTGGCGCCCCACCCTCCTATACTGTAAACTCTGGAATACTCTCCAGTTTAACGTGGCGCCCCCCCCTCCTATACGGTACTCTCTGGAATAGTCTCCAGTTTAACGTGGCGCCCCGCCCTCCTGTACTGTAAACTCTGGAATACTCTCCAGTTTAACGTGGTGCCCCACCCTCCTATACTGTACTCTCTGGAATACTCTCCAGTTTAACGTGGCGCCCCACCCTCCTATACTGTACTCTCTGGGATACTCTCCAGTTTAACGTGGCGCCCCACCCTCCTATACTGTACTCTCTGGAATAGTCTCCAGTTTAACGTGGCGCCCCACCCTCCTGTACTGTAAACTCTGGAATACTCTCCAGTTTAACGTGGCGCCCCACCCTCCTATACTGTACTCTCTGGAATAGTCTCCAGTTTAACAAAACTTTGCCAAACAAAAATAACTTACATCAGCGTCCCTGGCTGGACTTTTACTCTTGCTACGAATTATAATTGACCCATCCTCCGCAACTGTGGAATCCTGACCAGATATCTCCAGAGATTTGAACATTGCACTGAATTGATCATTGTCCACACTCTGTTGCACTTTGCTGGCCTGGCTAAACAGGCTCTCCAAATTAAGCTTGGGCCCCTCATTGTCTGTTGCTAGAGTCACTAGGGGTTGTTCTGACCCCTCATTTTCTGTCGCTAGAGTCACTAGAGGCTGTTCTGACTCCTTATGGTCTGTTGCTAGAGTTACTAGGGGTTTTTCACCTTCTGCACACGGCACAGAGGGCTTGGGCAGTTTGTCCAGGGCAGCTGCAGCCACACTGAGGGATGTTCCTGATGTCGACGTTTGATCGTGGTTCCCAGAAGATTTTAATTCTTGCCACATATTAATGAAATCCGAGTTCTGAGGTTCCACAAAAGCCTGTCCAAGGAGGAGAAGATATATTGCTACTGAAGACTGGTGGACAGTGTTTTATCATGATTCATCAGATTGTCCACAAAAACTAAAATTTATTTTGTCCGGAACTTTAAAAAAATAAAAATCCTTTTAGGGTTGTCAAACCATGTTTTTTTATTTGAAGTATAAACCAGTTGCTCAAAAAGTCTTCTGACCAAGAAAGCAGTCAAGTTTTAGTAACTGGTCATTAACAACAAGAGTACTGCGGGGCGGAACAAAATACGCCCGTCGAATGCCATATAGTGTTATATACTTTCTTACATTGAAATAAGATCTGCATCATTCTAAGAGTGGTAAGCTGATATGCTATAAAAAATGTAGGAGAAAATCTTCAGACAAAAAATCAAATACTGAAATGAACAAAAGGCAATACATTTTGCAAAAATCGGCGAATCAAAATTCTTTTAAGGGAAACACAACTTCAAATCATGATTATAAAGTATACCAAGTTTCAAAGAGATCCGTAAAAAAATGTAGGAGGAGATTTCCAGACAAAAATCAAATACTGAAATGAACAAAGGGCAATAATTTTTGGAAAAATTGTTGAATCAAAATTCTTTTAAGGGAGACAGAACTTCATATCATGATTATTATGTAGAAGGAGATTGCCAGACAAACAAAGTTTACGCCAGACGGATGGACGGACAACGCCATACCGTAATACTACCGTCAAGGTTGTGCTGTGAGGGCATCTCTACTATCAAGTGCTGTACCATATATTAACAGCTCGGGCAATGAACTGTTTACATTAATTAGTGCTCACTTACCATCGATGTATAACTACAGTATCTATAGTAAGGTCTAACCTTGGTAAACATGGAATAAATAACTGTCTGACCATTCAGTTATTAAATTTTGTAATTTGTTTGAGGTCTTCCCAATAGAGTAACTGGTTTAAATACAAGCTAAATGTTGACAACCCTGATTTATTATTAGGATTCAAGAATACAATCAACTAAATTTTTAACAATTTTTGTTAGTTTTTTGATAACAAAAAATATTTAAAAGACCAAAAAAGACACCTATAAAAGTGAACATTTTAATTAAATAAAGTGATTCAATAAGATTTTGAACAAAATACTTCTTTGATCATAAATCCAACAATTTACCTTTCCTGTTTGACCTTTGGCCCCGTCCCACTTGCCCGGTGTCGGTTTACCAGACTGGCTGACCTTAGGAGTGACAAACTTCGGGGATGATGCCCCTCCTTCTTGGTTAAAGCTTTTCAAGTGTAAATCTGACTGCGTTTCCATCTGTGACAATCAGATCATATAAATTAGTGTTAGAGCTGTTCTAGAAATAAATACTGGAGTGGAGCATACTTTTTTCCTCCTGTAGCTGTCGTGCATTTAAAGACCTACCTATACTTGTGAGCTTTGGCGTTGAGTTCATTCTCTCCCCACGTAACTTTCTGACTTTTCACATAATTATATCTTTCAGTGTTGGCTTCCTCCCTCCTGTAGTTACCTGGCCTTTTTAAACCTACCTGTAAGTGCTGGCTATTGCTCTTTTTACTTCCCTCCCCATGTAAGTATCATGCATTTGCACACATACCTGTGAGTGTCGGCTGTTTTCTTTACCTCCCTCCTATAGTTGTCCTGAATATTAACACCCACCTGTGAACGTTGGCTGTTTTTTTTACATCCCTCACTCCTATAGTGTCCTGAATGTTAACACCTACCTGTGAGTGTTGGCTATTGTCTTTAATTCCCTCCCTTCTGTAGCCGTCCTGCCTGTTAACACCTACCTGTGAGTGTTGGCTGTTGTCTTTACTTCCCTCCCTTCTGTAGCTGTCCTGCCTGTTAACACCTACCTGTGAGTGTTGGCTGTTGTCTTTACTTCCCTCCCTTCTGTAGCTGTCCTGCCTGTTAACACCTACCTGTGAGTGTTGGCTGTTGTCTTTACTTCCCTCCCTTCTGTAGCTGTCCTGCCTGTTAACACCTACCTGTGAGTGTTGGCTGTTGTCTTTACTTCCCTCCCTTCTGTAGCTGTCCTGCCTGTTAACACCTACCTGTGAGTGTTGGCTGTTGTCTTTACTTCCCTCCCTTCTGTAGCTGTCCTGCCTGTTAACACCTACCTGTGAGTGTTGGCTGTTGTCTTTACTTCCCTCCCTTCTGTAGCTGTCCTGCCTGTTAACACCTACCTGTGAGTGTTGGCTGTTGTCTTTACTTCCCTCCCTTCTGTAGCTGTCCTGCCTATTTGCACCTCCCCTAAAGTCTTGTCTAGAATCCTTTCCGGCTCTCCAGTTGTTATCCTGTTCTGCACGAGAGTTCTGATACTGTTTCTCTCCTTTTGTATAGGATCTATTGTCATTGTAATTTTCCTGGTTACTATAGCGATTGTCACTTCTACCTCCCTGACTAGCTGCTGCATAAGACATGTTGTTGTTGTTGTTTGATCCGGGTCGGAAGTCCTGCTGCCTGTTGTTTGATCCGGGTCGGACGTCCTGCTGCCTGTTGTTTAAGGACTGCTGATAGGCTTTATTTAGAAATTTTGTAAGTGCCTCCTGATTGGCGGCTGCCTTTCCAGTTTTTTTCTCATTCTTCCTTACCCCGTGAGATAAGTTAATCATTGCTGCTTTAGGCATTCTGTAGCCTTTACCTGGCGAACACCTGGCAGGGATAAATTATAATCATCAACTGGGAATCTCATGCAAAAGGTGACGTATTTCCACACTACAATGCTGTAGGATTGGAACTATCTAACTGATAGAGACAAAATGAGTTCGGAGTCATCTCAATTTACACTTTTATTGCGTGTTGTTTCTCCGTTTTTGATGTTGCCTTTGTCCACCATTAATGAAGCAGTTTAAGTTTACCAGAAGCACACAGAACATTTTATAAGAGCAATAAGCTACATACTCATAACAATGGTAAGAATGCATTGAAAGTAAACTTCAAAATTAACGTGTTTATCAGATGTCACAGAAATCACTGATTTATAGGAAATATAAACCAAACTAATGAATGCAAGCTCTCTGTGATGTCTGTTAAAGACGTCTATGTGGTGTTATTTACATAACAATATCTTAGTTGTTGTCCCTCAATAACATTGTACAGTGGCTCCCATCAATCAGTGCATGTTTCTAACTGGTGAGTGTTTACCTTATACAAGTTTAATTCCAATCAATCAGTGGATGTTTCTAACTGGTGAGTGTTTACCTTGTACAAGTTTAATTCAAATCAATCAGTGCATGTTTCTAACTGGTGAGTGTTTACCTTGTACAAGTTTAATTCCAATCAATCAGTGCACGTTTCTAACTGGTGAGTGTTTACCTTATACAAGTTTAATTCCAATCAATCAGTGGATGTTCATGATGGTGAGTTCCTACCTTGTACATGGACTAACTATTTTCTATTCTTCTTTTATTCGTAAAAACTTAACAGCGATATATCCAAAATAATTGCACTATGAAACTATAAAAATCATACCTAAGAGTGATTCCGCCTGGGAACTCTTCATCGAACACAATGTCATATATAGTGTCCGTTTCCTTCTCCTCAATATGGACTCCGGTGACAGTGCCCCTCAGACCGAACGGTACTGGATAGCCTTTACGTACATTGGCTACTCTGTCAAACAGGTAGAACTCCACAGACTGGTCTGGTACCATGTTCCCCTGCCCAACCATTGGCTGAAAATCGGGCAAAAATATTTGGATTTATATATAAGATCTGTGGGCAGACAGGTTGTTCAAATTTTGACTAGTACAGCAAGTAGCGTAGGGCTAATCCTGAAATGACTTGTCCATGGTGAAAGGCAAACAATAGGAAAATGGGATGTGTGGTCCAGATTGTATCATTTTTTTAAATTTTTATTCTTCCATTCACATTACAATTTTGATTGGTAACTGTGTATCAGAAAAAATATCAACAATTAAAAGTACTACACTGTGTCATGCCAAATAACGAAATACAAAACCATGAAATCTTTTTCAGTGCAACTATATTTTCTAAGTTAATGGATTTTCGTCTTTCTAAATCTAAGGTGAGCATAATGTTTTGATAGCCTATCTAGTTCAGACTACAGATTACTTCAAACAGGTAAATTAACCTCAAACAACAGATTACTTCACCTCAACAACAGGTACATTTATCTCAATCAACAGGCAATTTGCCTAAAAACAAGTACTTTAACCTGAACAGTATGTTACTTTGCTCTGAACAAAAGTAACTTTTAATTGAACAACAGATAGCCTCAAATGACAAGTACACTTACCTTAAACAACAGGTAAGTTTGACTTAACAACAGGTAACTTCACCTTGAACAACAGGTAAGTTTGACTTAACAACAGGTAACCTCACCTTAAACAACAGGTAAGTTTGACTTAACAACAGGTAACTTCACCTTAAACAACAGGTAAGTTTGACTTAACAACAGGTAACTTCACCTTGAACAACAGGTAAGTCTGACTTAACAACAGGTAACTTCACACCTTGAACAACAGGTAAGTTTGACTTAACAACAGGTAACTTCACCTTGAACAACAGATGTGGCTTCACTTGCATCTTCACCCTGCGCTGTTTCCGTTTGTTGACTTCCTGACAACAACAAAAATCATACATTTTAGTTTTAGATTTCCTAAAATCCTAAATCTTAACCCTAGTGATGATATTCTTTATTTTCTAACATGAGGCTTTAAGCCAAGGATTAGTTATGCAGAATCTGATCCAAAAGAATAATTATATGGTGATCATATGGACATATGATCACCATATAGTTATTCTTTATCTCTCAACAATTTCAATACTATGTTTGAAACAAATGGTTTTCACATGTGTATATGTTTTTGCCCTTAATTTGCACATGACCACTCCTATCAAAAGCTGACTGTGACATATTTATAGTTAAGGGTGGTCCGGTAGCTGACTGTGACATATTTATAGTTAAGGGTGGTCCAGTGGCGCTGACTGTGACATATTTATAGTTAAGGGTGGTCCGGTAGCTGACTGTGACATATTTGTAGTTAAGGGGGGTCCGGTGGCGCTGACTGTGACATATTTATGGTTAAGGGTGGTCCGGTGGCGCTGACTGTGACATATTTATAGTTAAGGTTGGTTCGGTGGCGCTGACTGTGACATATTTATAGTTAAGGGTGGTCCGGTGAAAATAGCACTCACCTTCCGCCATGGTTCAGGGCTTTTCATAGGTCAATAGTTGAACTGCTGCCAAGGCTATTCGATGGCCGACAGAAAGTTCCCCACAATGAAATAATACAACTTAGAACTTACAATGATCTTTTGCACTTCCTGCTCAATGGCGTTGATGACACCCTGGTCTAGTATTTCGGCCCCAGCTTTCATTGTCTTCACGCTATTACAAGGCAGTCCCTTTACAAAATCTGTCATCTTCTTCAAGCTGTATGGACTACAGGTATAAACATGTATGATAACGATTAAACAGGAGGTTAAACAACAATCATCATCTACCACAGCACAGTACCAGGTAATCCTATCTGACAGAACTTTTCTCTCTAAACAAGCTTCTTCAATAGTATTCAGTTTTTAAAACTGATGTTTTTTTATGTTTTATGCATTGAGCATCAGAGCTGATTTATCCCAATCAGTTGAAGTGAATGGTTTTATAGAATGTCTGGTAACATAGACTAGTACTAACATTAAGCCACAATAATAAATTTGACTCTGCCTCTACACATGACTGTTATTTTTCTAAGATAATAAGATTTCATATGACTATAAATGTAGCCTAATTCAAAGGGTAAACAACATTGTACAATTTAATTAGCTGGATTACAGCCAAATACATGTAGATTCCATATTCAACATGGAACTTTACCTGCCCTCCTTGAAAAGGTCTGTCTCATAGAAGTTATCTCCCCTGCCTCCATCTTTAGAACTGATATAGGACCATATTTCTGGAAATCTGGAAAAAATATATGAAAACTAGAACAATTACAGAAAAGGAATTGCCCTGCAATATGACTCATGGTATTTATCCTTTAAATTGTCAAACAGAAGCCACAGTGATTCTGTCGGAGTTTGAAATATGGGTAATAAGGGAACACATACAAAAGTCACGTAATTGGAATTGGACAAGTACTATTTACCAGTTAGCATGAAGAAAATCAGGCCGACAGAAAAGAGCTTATTGTTAAAAAGATGTCAGACAATCTGAGGTCATGGTGGCCATCTTGGGTTATGGGATCTGGATTGTATGTTCTAAATCAAAATGTGTCTATTCCATAAGAACAATTTACAACAAGGTATGGAGAAAATTATACGATGAATCAAAAGCTACAGTTGTGTATGTCCGAGCCAATCAACCAATCAAGGGTGGCCATGTTTGGTATTGGGGCAATATGGCTTTATGGAAATATAGGATATCCACCAAGTACCACTAGCAATCAAAATGAACACCGACAAGTCAGAAAGGGTCACCACACAATACAGGTAGGACAGTATATCTCTTAGTAACATTGACCTTGACTGGTGGACATTTTCATAGGTACATAGGATCCTGGTTATATGGCTAAAACCAAGAAAATCGGTTTTTTGTAAATTTTAGGTATATTTTTTACAGTACTTTGAGAAATATTACCATTAAAGGAACAAGTGTTTGAACCCTTGAGCCCCTAAGGCACTTACTCAGCAAGGTATTGTCCGACCACCTCCATGGCTTTGTCGGAGTATGTCCATCCTTCATCTGTTCTCTTTGTGTACCCAGGGACCTCCTCATTCCGCTTGGTAAACTTTAGGTTTAGACCAATGTTAGTTTTGAAGCGGTCATTTGGATTGTCAGGCGACCCAGGGGTCACCATGATGCAGCCAGTCATCCGTGACAGGAAGTGGGAAGTGATAGCAAGTCGAGGGGCAATGACATAGCCTGGATAATACTGAATGCCCAAGAACTGAGGATAGAAAATATCAACAAATGCTTATTTCAACAGGGTCTTTTACACAATAATGTAGGATTTCATGTTATCATGCATGTTATGTCACGACATTTACCTATCTGTTACATTTGCCTTGAATATTTTACAAGATGAAACAAACTACAATAAATCATGACAAATCCATGATGTTTATAAATCTGCAAAATAGAAATTTACGAACCCTAACCCAAAATAAAAAGTTACAAACCCTTACCCAAAATAGAAAGTTACGAGCCCTAACCCAAAATAAGAAGTTACAAACCCTAACCCAAAATAGAAAGTTACGAACCCTAACCCAAAATAAAAAGTTACAAACCCTAACCCAAAATAGAAAGTTACAAACCCTAACCCAAAATAGAAAGTTACAAACCCTAACCCAAAATAGAAAGTTACGAGCCCTAACCAAAAAATAGAAAGTTACGAGCCCTAACCCAAAATAGAAAGTTACGAACCCTAACCCAAAATAGAAAGTTACGAACCCTAACCCGAAATAGAAAGTTACGAACCCTAACCCGAAATAGAAAATCATGAACCCTAACCCAAAAAAGAAAGTTACGAACCCTAACTCGAAATAGAATTTTACGAACCCTTACCCAAAATAGAAAATCACGAACCCTAACCCGAAATAGAAAGTTACGAACCCTAACCCAATATAGAAAGTTACCAACCCTAACCCAAAATAGAAAGTTACGAACCCTAACCCAAAATAGAAAGTTACGAGCCCTTACCCAAAATAGAAAGTTACGAACCTTAACCCAAAATAGAAAGTTACGAGCCCTAACCCAAAATAGAAAGTTACGAACCCTAACCCAAAATAGAAAGTTACGAACCCTAACCCGAAATAGAAAGTTACGAACCCTAACCCGAAATAGAAAGTTACAAACCCTAACCCAAAAAAGAATGTTACATATGGAGCTTACACCCTGGTCATTTATATATACGTATGGAGCTTACACCCTGGTCATTTATATATATGTATGGAGCTTACACCCTGGTCATTTTCCACATTATCTAGGTTAGGTTCCTCCAGGATGGAAACGTTAATTCTCACTCGGGAGTCGTCTTCTATGTCAACCACCTTAAACAAAACACAATCCTTTAGTGTTTATGTACTACATCATTTTCAAATGATCAAATTATAAAAATATTTATGTTGAGATTCAATATGATATTATACAAAATTCAAAATATCTCTCTCGAGCTCATAAATTTGTTTACATTTAATTTAATGCACATTGATTTATAAGATGATTTCTATATACAATCAAACTTCAAAGTTTCAATTATTATGGTATTATTGGGAAAAATTTAAAACATGAAGACTTTGATTTACATACTGCATAAGACCGACTTTAACTGTTAAGTACCAAACACATGTCACGAGATTTAATTAGAAATATATAATCCAAATGATTTTCATATATCTATACACTGTAATTTGCATGTTAAGATATTAAAATGACCCCGGGACATTTCAATGTTCTCGTACCGGTACATGTAGTTGTTTTACTTCAATCTATTAGTTGTAATTCTCAATGTTTACCTAACGATCGGACCTTGATTGTAGTTCGAAACAACGAGTTCAACATTTTCAAAAACAATATGTAATGAATGATTTGCATTAATGGGGAGTGGTGTAGTAACATGTCATCTTAACTAAAAACCTGTGTTCGCATGTTTACTCATGTTTATTATCTGTCATATTTAATAACCATCAATGCTGATGGGGCCAAATTTATTTCAATATTTTAATATCAATCTTTGCTTCTTTTTAGTTTCAATTGTAGAAACATCAAATGTTTAACCAAAAGCTATTTAAAGTTTTAAAAGTTTTGCTGAGTAATTGACCTTCCCTTTAGTAGGTATTACACTTACTTCTCCTTGACATGCGTAGTGAGGCCAGCCCAGCATGAACACTGCTTCCTTAGCAGGAAAGAGTTCTCCCAGGGTGTTAAACTGGCAGAAGGATGTGTCATACACATTTAGGTCCTACAAACATACATCAGGCATTATAATTACTGACTATACACATACAGATCAGGCATTGTAATTACTGACTATCACTGGGTATATACACATACAGATCAGGCATTGTAATTACTGACTATCACTGGGTATATACACATACAGATCAGGCATTGTAATTACTGACTATACACATACAGATCAGACATTGTAATTACTGACTATACACATACAGATCAGGCATTGTAATTACTGACTATACACATACAGATCAGACATTGTAATTACTGACTATACACATACAGATCAGGCATTGTAATTACTGACTATCACTGGGACTATACACATACAGATCAGACATTGTAATTACTGACTATACACATACAGATCAGGCATTGTAATTACTGACTATACACATACAGATCAGACATTGTAATTACTGACTATACACATACAGATCAGGCATTGTAATTACTGACTATACACATACAGATCAGACATTGTAATTACTGACTATACACATACAGATCAGACATTGTAATTACTGACTATACACATACAGATCAGACATTGTAATTACTGACTATACACATACAGATCAGACATTGTAATTACTGACTATACACATACAGATCAGGCATTGTAATTACTGACTATACACATACAGATCAGACATTGTAATTACTGACTATACACATACAGATCAGGCATTGTAATTACTGACTATACACATACAGATCAGACATTGTAATTACTGACTATACACATACAGATCAGGCATTGTAATTACTGACTATACACATACAGATCAGACATTGTAATTACTGACTATACACATACAGATCAGGCATTGTAATTACTGACTATACACATACAGATCAGACATTGTAATTACTGACTATACACATACAGATCAGGCATTGTAATTACTGACTATCACTGGGTATATACACATACAGATCAGACATTGTAATTACTGACTATACACATACAGATCAGGCATTGTAATTACTGACTTTCACTTGGTATATACACATACAGATCAGACATTGTAATTACTGACTATACACATACAGATCAGGCATTGTAATTACTGACTATCACTGGGTATATACATATACAGATCATGTAGGGTATAATAATTTTTCATTCAAGACATAATCTTATAAATTAGTCAGATGAAAATTACAAAAGAAAGCAGGTTTTTGAAATCAAATAAAACGTTACAATTTTATAAAATCTTAGCCAAGTTCACTTCTAATGTACTAAATGAGTTGTCAATTAAGACAAGGATAAATGACCAGAATAGACTAAATGATATATTTATTGACGATCCTTTGTCAACACCTTGAAAGCTTTTATTAATTATTTATTATAGGTCTGCAAGCTAAACCCTGGATATATTGATTGAAAGGAAGCGGAATGGTCATTCCAGATGAAATGAAAACCATGCAGACTTACCTTGACTGATGTCTGGTACAGAAATGTCAACCATGCAGACTTACCTTGACCGATGTCTGGTACAGAAATGTCACAGGATTACTGGCAAACTGTTTCTCTAGTACGATCTTCCCATGTGCTCCACAGATGTACCTGTACACAAACACCAGTATAATAACATGTACCAATACAGTGGATAACAAAATGTCTAACATGCTGTACCACATGTACTGTGAAATCAGATATTTTCAGGGGCCAAACTTTGTGGTTTCCCAACAAAACACCATTTCCTGGGTACATGAGTTCATGGATTATGAGTACCCTCTCAAACAGAGATTGGCTTTATAACTTGTAATTGTCTCTACCTGATTGTTAGAATGGAGTTCAAACTTACCATCTAATGGGAACTGAAATGCCATCAAACACTCACACTTACCATCTAATGGGAACTGAAATGCCATCAAACACTTACACTTACCATCTAATGGGAATTGAAATGCCATCAAACACTCACACTTACCATCTAATGCGAACTGAAATGCCATCAAACCCGCACACTTACCATCTAATGGGCACTGAAATGCCATCAAACACTCACGCTTACCATCTAATGGGAACCGAAATGCAATCAAACACTTACATTTACCATCTAATGGGAATTGAAATGGCATCAAACACTCACACTTACCATCTAATGGGAAGTGAAATGCCATCAAACACTCACACCTGCCATCTAATGGGAACTGAAACGCAATCAAACACTTACACCTACCATCTAATGGGAACTGCAATGCCATCAAACTCTTACACTTACCATCTAATGCGAACTGAAATGCCATCAAACACTTACACTTACCATCTAATGGGAATTCAAATGCCATCAAACACTCACACTTACCATCTAATGGGAACTGCAATGCCATCAAACACTTACACTTACCATCTAATGGGAACTGAAATGCCATCAAACACTTACACTTACCATCTAATGGGAACTGAAATGCCATCAAACACTTACACTTACCATCACAATGAGGACCTCAATGACTCTAATCACTGATAGCCAATTAACAATAAAAACAACAACCTCAAACTGATTTATCATTGCATGTCTCCCACTAACATCACATGGGAACTAAACACTGGTGAATACTCTAGAGAGCTGGCCAGGATTATTCCCCCTGAACTACTTACTTCCTTCCTACGAGAGGCAATGCCCTGAGAGATACATGTGTCTGTCCCACGTCCACTCCAAGGCGGTCATGATATCTGAACAAAACAAAGTAACACAAATTATACTATACTGTATTCAGTAAAATTTTCACTTGACTTGAATTTTTGTGTTTATTGCCGTCTGTAATGAGGGTGAATTTATCATGACAGCCTGTATCAGTACACGTACACAGCATACCATATGAAGTAATAATTACTGCTGAAGAGCAAAAATTAACACTTGATGAAAAATGATTTTACTAATAAAGTTTGAATATTTGACTGGGCAGACGTTTTCCAGTATACAGTATTACTTGATTTCTATGAAAGATGACTTTTTCAAAATAATTTTTGAAGTAGATATTTCCCATTTGATGTTTTACTAAAGTTCAGTCTAAATGTGTTTGAACTGATTATTGAGGTATTCTAGACTGTATTGTGGGGCCGATACTTCACCTGGGAGCACCTGTTGCATAAATGTTCATGGTCAGGAACTGTTGCTTACCTCTCTCTAATGGCTACGACATCCTTCCTCCAGATAATTTGGTCATTCTTGTTCATCTCCTCCTCCGTTACTCTGGTCCTTGTCTGACCTGCCTCCTTCGTAGTACTTAGCTCGTATCTACCAACAGGGGCACATGACCAATGAGTATAATACAGGTACATACAGCACGATCAGCAGTTTTATTTTATACAAAAATAAATGTTTACAAATCATTTAACTAAACTAATGTTACATATGGGCTTATTTTTCCAGCAAAATTCATAGCCATGTAGCTTAACATCCCTGCATCAAAAATGAATCGGCAGATTTGGCTAATTCCATGATTACAAAATATGACATTGACAAGATAGTCAATCTGGAAATCTGCTGATAGGGTAAGATTTGATGACGACAGTTGAATTAGGTTTAGTTATTCTTGTAGGGTGCTTTATGGCAATATATCAGCTATATAAAGGTATTAGGAAATGTACCATGTGACCACCAGATGCCACTCACCTTGTGTTGCCATCGGAGACGGAGATAACCTTGACCTCTATCATGTGTGGCCAGCTCACAAACACGTTGTTGTGCAGCACAGAGTTGGCAACAGTTTTTATATCCTGACAACACAATATTACTACTGAAATACCAGTATTTTCACATATGCAGCTATCTTTACAAATGTGAGCACATCAGAAAATTCTTTTATTTCATTTTATTTTATCAATTCACACCGGAAAACTGATTGTCCATTTACATACTTGACAATATTTATTCAGATGTAAGGAAAAACAAGAATACAGTATTGTTACAGCTGTTTATTTTGTGTAGTGAAGTGCTCACCAAATACTTCTTCCGTGTGCAATTATGAAAATTAGTATTCCTGATATCATAACTGTTAAAATATTTCTCAAAAAACATTTACATATCAACATATATCAGCTACATCATATTTGAAGATAAAAGCAGGAAAATAATAAATTCTAAATTTATTGAACATTTGATAATAAAATAAAATTCTCATATATAGGATGATTAAATTTTGATTTCATCCAGTGTTATGCAGTGAATATTGATGCAAAATTTGGTCAAATGACATGTTTATAAATATAAACTGCTTAAAAGTGCTTCGTTTCAGATTTAATGTTGTTCTTTCTTAGTTTACTTCTTTAGGTCTATCAGTTTACAGAGACGAAAATGGAATAAGATTTCTTAATCAATCAAAAGTTTACAATACACTAAATTGAAAAAAACTAAAATCAGCCAAACAGCTAAAACAAATCATCTCTGCAGCGTACTTAAATAAACATATTCATAAATCTTATTTTAAGATGATAAACAAGTTTAAATTCCTACATCTGGGCAGTACTTCTGAATCAGTAATAAGCTGACATCAACTTACCTCCTCTTCACCCTTTACTAGTGAGAGAATCATGTTCTCGCCGCGACTGTTGGCCGTGAACACTTTCACACCCTCTTTCTTCAGATAGGCCTGAAAATGGATTGGCAATATTCTTTATTGCACATTTCTTGATGGAAAAAAACTTAACTTTAGAAAACAGCCTAAAATGTTCAGTATTTAATCAGACATAGACATATATACATGTTACAATAAAGCCTTTAATGTTGGTCAGCTGGACAGTTTCAAAGAAATTGGAAATATCAAATTTGATATTTCTGATTTCTTCAAGAGGTCATTGAGGGAACAAAGTGAACAAGAAATGAAAAAAAAGGTAGACATAATTACTTTTATCACATACCTGTTGAATCTTGTTATAGTAATACAAGCCATTTTCAGACCATGAAATACAATGTTCTGTATTGCACAAGTGCAATACGGAATGTTGTATTTACCTACTAGCCGGAATTACTTTTTATGGGAATTCCCTTGTCATGGCGAACTTAAAAGTTCCTGGTATTTGCAAAAGATATCAAAATTTATAAAATCTTTGTACGATCTTTTACCGAATACGGAAGGTATGTGAAAAAAGCAAGACCACACACTTGTGTATTTCTAACAAATCAGAAAGCACTCATTTATTGCGCGGACGTATATAATCAGCGCACTCGTGAATATAGTCGTCCATGCAATACACTCATGCTTTCTGATTCGTTAGAAAAACACAAGTGTGTGGTCTTGCATATATATCTGTAAATCCTTATATTTTTGCACAGAGAAATGTTTGCCATATGGTCTTAAAAAAATATTGCCAAAACTTTGAACTTGCCTACATATTACTGCTTATTATTATAAAATACTCATGTCAGAACTGCTAACTTATATATGGTAGTGGAAATGATTATAAATACTTACCTGAATCGATAACTATTCAATATATGCAACACTATTTGCCCAATGTAAACTCTTGTTTAATGGAGAAAGTAGCAAAAACATTAAAAGGGCAGAAATTTCCTGTTTTTTCATTACAAGCATTTAAACAGACTTGTTTCCTGGATTAAGGTTGGATATAATTTAACCATTCTTACATCAAAATTACTTTTCCTACCTTATGAGGGAGGTGCTTGAAGGTTGGAAAGCCGGGGAAGTACACATCCTGTCTGGTTCCCTCCAGCATTCCTTTCTTGATGAGATGGCGGGGTAGCTGGAATTCATCCTTCGGAATCAGAGTTAATCTGAAAGTGGCACATTACAGTTACGGTACGTAAATCAAAATTAAACTTTTGACAACAATTGTGAAACAAGTTCTATAAATTTATATTAATCACTTTTGTTGGTCAATGTTGAATAAAATCCTGGCTGTCATGGTGAAAAGTGTGTATGCCTTTCACTATACACCACCTACCCAACCCAGTAATGTACAAATTACAAGCTTTTAACCAGTACCAACGAAAGGATTGACATGAAATTAATTTCACCTTCAGCAGTCACTAGTCATATCAAAAGAGTCATGTTTCCATTTTATTTCAACAAGATAGATAACAAAAAATCATTGCTCAATTGCAATCTTATCATTTTACTGATGGAGACTAGAATGTGTAAAATGCAACCTTTGGGGGATAGGAGAATAGACACAAGAGACAACACAGTACTCACATGGCATGCGTGAGTGTGAAGGTTGGGTGGGGTGGATGGTAGCAAAATAGATACATATTAACAACACAGTACTTACTAAGCATAGTTATGTACCACGTCTGGGAAAGTTCCTTGTGAGGATGAGGGGTAGGGGGTAATGGATCAGACACACAATCGTAACACAGTACTTACTTGGCATAGTTATGTACCACGTCTGGGAAAGTTCCCGGTGAGGATGAGGGGTAGGGGGGTAATGGATCAGACACACAGTCATAACACAGTACTTACTTGGCATAGTTATGTACCACGTCTGGGAAAGTTCCTGGAAGGGATGAGGGGTAGGGGGGAATGGATCAGACACATAGTTGTAACACAGTACTTACTTGGCATAGTTATTTGTAACACAGTACTCACTTGGCATAGTTATGTACCACGTCTGGGAAAGTGCCTGGTGAGGATGAGGGGTAGGGGGTAATGGAACAGACACATAGTTGTAACACAGTACTCACGTGGCATAGTTATGTACCACGTCTGGGAAAGTTCCTGGAAGGGATGAGGGGTAGGGGGGAATGGATCAGACACATAGTTGTAACACAGCACTTACTTGGCATAGTTATGTACCACGTCTGGGAAAGTTCCCGGTGAGGATGAGGGATAGGTGGTAATGGATCAGACACATAGTCGTAACACATTACTCACTTGGCATAGTTATGTACCACGTCTGGGAAAGTGCCTGGTGAGGATGAGGGGTAGGGGGTAATGGATCAGACACATAGTCGTATCCCAGTCCCTACTTGGCATAGTTATGTACCACGTCTGGGAAAGTGCCTGGTGAGGATGAGGGGTAGGGGGTAATGGATCAGACACATAGTTGTAAACCATTACTCACTTGGGATAGTTATGTACCACGTCTGGGAAAGTTCCCCGTGAGGATGAGGGGTAGGGGGGTAATGGATCAGACCCACAGTCATAACACAGTACTTACTTGGCATAGGTATGTACCACGTCTGGGAAAGTTCCTGGTGAGCATGAGGGGTAGGGGGTAATGGATCAGACACATAGGCGTAACACAGTACTTACTTGGCATAGTTATTTGTAACACAGTACTCACTTGGCATAGTTATGTACCACGTCTGGGAAAGTTCCTTGTGAGGATGAGGGGTAGGGGGTAATGGGGCAGACACACAATCGTAACACAGTACTTACTTGGCATAGTTATGTCCCACGTCTGGGAAAGTTCCCGGTGAGGATGAGGGATAGGGGGGTAATGGATCAGACACATAGTTGTTACACAGTACTTACTTGGCATAGTTATGTACCACGGCTGGGAAAGTTCCTGGTAAGGATGAGGGGTAGGGGGAAATGGATCAGACACATAGTCGTAACACAGAACTCACTTGGTATAGTTATGTACCACGTCTGGGAAAGTTCCTTGTGAGGATGAGGGGTAGGGGGTAATGGATCAGACACATAGTGGCATAGTTATGTACCACGTCTGGGAAAGTGCCTGGTGAGGATGAGGGGTAGGGGGTAATGGAACAGACACATAGTTGTAACACAGTACTCACTTGGCATAGTTATGTACCACATCTGGGAAAGTTCCTGGTGAGGATGAGGGATAGGGGGTAATGGATCATACGTATAGTCGTAACACAGTTCTTACTTGGCATAGTTATGTACCACGTCTGAGAAAGTTCCTGGGGAGGATGAGGGGTAAGGGGGTAATGGATCAGACACATAGTCGTAACACAGGACTTACTTGGCATAGTTATGTACCACGTCTGGGAAAGTTCCCGGTGAGGATGAGGGATAGGTGGTAATGGATCAGACACATAGTCGTAACACTGAGGATGAGGGGTAGGGGGTAATGGATCAGACACATAGGCGTAACACAGTACTTACTTGGCATAGTTATTTGTAACACAGTACTCACTTGGCATAGTTATGTACCACATCTGGGAAAGTTCCTGGTGAGGATGAGGGGTAAGGAGGTAATGGATCAGACACATAGTCGTAACAAAGTACTTACTTGGCATAGTTATGTACCACGTCTGGGAAAGTTCCCGGTGAGGATGAGGGATAGGTGGTAATGGATCAGACACATAGTCGTAACACTGAGGATGAGGGGTAGGGGGTAATGGATCAGACACATAGGCGTAACACAGTACTTACTTGGCATAGTTATGAACCACGTCTGGGAAAGTTCCTGGTGAGGATGAGGGGGGGGGGGTAATGGATCAGACACATAGTTGTTACACAGTACTTACTTGGCATAGTTATGTAGCACGTCTGGGAAAGTTCCTGGTGAGGATGAGGGGTAAGGGGGTAACTGATTGGTCACATAGTCGTAACACAGTACTTACTTGGCATAGTTATGTACCACGTCTGAGAAAGTTCCTGGTGAGGATGAGGGGTAAGGGGGTAACTGATCGGTCACATAGTCGTAACACAGTACTTACTTGGCATAGTTATGTGCCACGTCTGGGAAAGTTCCTTGTGAGGATGAGGGGTAAGGGGTTAATGGATCAGACACATAGTCGTAACACAGTGGGTAGGGGGTAATGGATCAGACACATAGTCGTAACACAGTACTTACTAAGCATAGTTATGTACCACGTCTGGGAAAGTTCCTGGTGAGGATGAGGGGTAGGGGGGTAACTGATCGGTCACATAGTCGTAACACAGGCTTGGGCTATGACAATTCCTTTTTTTCTCTGAAGGGCTCATCAGGTGCTCTACTTTTGCCATGGCAGTAAGCAAACGTTTCTACACAGAGGAAAACAACATCAACACATATCTATTTCACACTGATGTCGAAAAAAAACCACTTCAGATCAATTCAATTTGATTTTTACAGTAGACAGGAATTGAAAACAAAATATCTAGTATTTTTTTTCATTATTTGACAAAAGTCATTTCCATGTTAAAGAAACACTATTAGTCTATTAAACATAATTATTGGTTTCTTTAACATGTCTTGAAGTGGTAAATCAGGAAAATTAAAATTGAATTGTGAAAGTTGTTATGTCTCGAAAGTACAATTTTTTCAATTTTAGGCAAATAACATATAATTATTAACAAATAGACAATCAACTTGACACACTGTACATATTTCCCACCTACAATCCCTTGTTTTGTTTTTCCAACTTAAAATGCCATTGTGGCATTTTGACATAATAAAGTGTGTACCTCATCTATGAATGGAATGAGGACCACAGCCTCCCAGTCCTGCTGCTTTCCGTTGAGATCAGATTGGAAGTTGACGGGGTAAAAGTCAATGATTTCGGAGCTGTCCATCATCATGAGATTCTGTTAAAAAGCATTTAGATTAAAGCGTATATGTAAGTAACAAAATATAAATATCGTCACATGTAAGTAACAAAATATAAATACTGTCACATGTAAGTAACAAAATATAAATATCGTCACATTCAACGAACATTGAAAAGGAAGTAATGTACATGTATGTATGGATTTATTTTGTCCTTAAGATGAATAAAAGTTCTTATAAATTTCAAAGACTTTTCATGTAATAAAGGTTTGATGCAAATCTATGTAATACAATTATATCAACTCTGACATATTTATAACAGGAATCGTATCTAAATCAACATGCACTGAAAATTACATATATTACAAATGCTTGAAATGGCTTTATTATCTGTAGAAACTTTACTTTATCAATCATTTAAAAATCATAATATACTATTTAGTTTATTGAACTGAATGTTTATCTAGAGAATTTTATATATTTTAAAGTTGTGTGATTTGAATTTTTGTGTGGCTGAAGTGCCATAAGTGTACTACCTACCCAGTAAGCTTTGGGCAGCAGGTCCTTGCTGTTAGACGGCAGTACCGCCATCAGTTGCTGGAATGGCAGGAAGGGTGTACTGCGCTCAAATTGGATATCCATCCCCGCGAAACACTTGACATCGCTGATGAATGGTGCATAGTGGTGAGGGTAATACCTGTCAAGTAAAATATTTTCAAAACCTTGAACATTTTTAAAGCTTTACAAGAATTAAACGTAATGAGATGTCGCGCCTGTCCCCACTTTGATCATAAGATTCAATGTGTGAAGTATTGTTAGTTTGACATGAAGTTCGAAATATAATAGGGCACATTCAGCATATGATGCTTGGTTTGAGATACAGTACGTCTGAAACAACTACAGTCCAAGCTTATTTACTCCAACACTTAAACTTTTTGAGATAAAGCATAAAACACACAGCTAAACGCAAAAACTTAACATTGATGAAGATGCTGTTAAAGTCACTGGACAGCGAAATGTAGGGCACATTCACCAACTGATGCATGAGTTGAGGTGAAGTATCTAAGACACATGTATGGTCCAAGTTTGGTTGGTCTAGCACTTATACTTTTAGACAAACAGAGCTAAATGCAAAAACTTCGCATTGACGCCGCCGCCAAAACAGTAACACCTAAGTCCTGCCTCCTTGACATCCGTCGCAGGCGAGACAATAACAAAGAGCTATTTTATGCACACTTTTTTATTTGTAGAAATGGCACATTTATATCAACAGTACTGGCATGAACAAGCCTAGGTTCTTAGATTTTAACATAATTAGCTAAAATGTGAAATGTTGAGGTTGAATCAATTATTGAGCATGGCCCCATCTGTTAGATATAGAATCCTCAGCAATGCTTTATAAGGATTGACAGCATTTATCATACTGTCATGATCATTGAAAAATGCCTATATTTACATTCTAAATTTTATTGTTATTGATCTAAATGTAGGTATTTGCTTGTAGTTTTGATATAGAAGTGTCAGTGTCATCAGTGCAAACAAGATTCCTGGAACAGCTGAATATCACTAAATGTTTTCTTCGATTCTGAGTGGGAGGAGCTTCAAAATGATGCTGATCAAATTGCATTCATAGCCCTATGAACACAATTTCTTCTGGTAATGTTTACAGAGGAATTCGTTGTTGAAATGAACTCTTTGATTTAAATGTACAGAAGTGTTACTTATCATCTGATTCTCCACGAAACTGCTCTATCAAAGTTGTAACACAATACTACACATCAAAATAACGGTACTTACCAGCTCCAGGACGGCACGCCATCAAAGTAGTAATACAATACTACACATCAAAATAACGGTACTTACCAGCTCCAGAACAGCACGCCATCAAAGTAGTAACGCAATACTACACATCAAAATAACAGTACTTACCAGCTCCAGGACGGCACGCCATCAAAGTAGTAATACAGGATCCACTGTATGCCTCGTACATAGCACTCAGCTTGTTCTCTTAGTACGTCACTATGGTGGAAGGGGAGATAATTACTTTATATGAGAAAATAATCATTTCTACTGATTCGGAAAGGGATATAATTAATTCTATACATATTTAATTTCTATTTACAGTCATGAAATCATTTTTTAATTGACATTTTATATTTCTATTGCCTTAGTATACTAAAACTTCTTATTCCGACAACTGTTTGTAAACTGGATTCTCACTCAAACAACTGTCTGTAGAGCTAATAATCTCTGGATTCTCACTCGATAACTGTCTGTAGAGCTAATAATCTCTGGATTCTCACTTGAACAACTATCTGTAGAGCTTATAATCTCTGGATTCTCACTTGAACAACTGTCTGTAGAGCTAATTATCTCTGGATTCTCACTTGAACAACTGTCTGTAGAGCTATTAATCTCTATTTGTATTGCCTTAGTTATAAATCCTATACTTTTCATTATTCTGATAACTGATTGTAAACTGGTTCCTTACTCTGTAAACTGCTCGTATTCTAGTTTAGTCATGTAGTAATGTCGCTTGTGTACCCGGAACTCCTCCTCAAACATAGAACTCGGACTGTTAGGTTTGATGTCAGCTAGGTGTGCTAATTGTAATCCTTCACCATCTGTCACAATAAACATGCTCATTAGTGTCATTACAAGGTTGTCACTCTCTGTAAACTGTTAAAGATTCCTGACCCACTCGACTCCAGTTTTTCATATTTACAGTAACCTCCCCTTAATTTCGTTTTGTATACAGTAACCTCCCCTTAATTTCGTTTTGTATACTATAACCTCCCCTTAATTTCGTTTTGTATACAGTAGCCTCCCCTTAATTTCGTTTTGTATACAGTAGCCTCCCCTTAATTTTGTTTTGCATTCAGTAACCTCCCCTTAATTTCGTTTTGTATACAAATGTAGAACAGTTGGGCCAGGATACTTCAGCTGACAAGGTAGCTCAGTCAGCTAGATCAACAGTAGAACAATCTGAGGTCCTGGGCTCTAATCCTAGACTAGCTTTTACAATCAGATCACTGTTTCGTTATTTCACATTCACAATTATTTTGACTGTTTCTTTATTTCACATTCACAAGTATTTTATTATTTTTCAAGCAAGGTATGATTTTCGTTTAGCCATGCTGGAAAAATGGTTTCCAATGTGTAGTTACAATTTTAGCAGTGGTACAGAGATGATTAACACTCAGACACTTTTATCCCATGTTATTATCTCCCTTTACATGTTATTATCTCCCTTTACAATACAAGAAATAATAGTCTGTGTACTGTCAAGATGAATGTGCCATCAAAACATAGGGCAAAAAAGGGTAAAAATGAACTGGTGAACATTTCCTATATACCATATAACATTTCCTATATACAATATAACATTACCTTATAACTTGACATCATTTTATTGGAACTCTTATCTCCTGAACTAATTTCACCTTTAAACATCTCCTTGAAATATCTTATGCAGAACGACAGATTTTAGTAATAAATGACATTAATCAGTGCATCACACTAATAAGTTACCACGTCCTTATTCTATAAACTAACTCAGCAGAGCAGCATAGTTATGTGTGTGCAATGATTTACCTAACGGGTCTCCAAAGTCCTCGTCCATATCCACTCCACTTTCCTCCACCAGGGCTGCAAACTGGTTGTCATCCTGTTTTCTCTGGGGAAAAATGCACATAAATCTGTTATTTTTCACATTCATACAAAATTTAACATCATCAGAAAATGAATCGAAAACATGATGTAAAATTACATAGGAATGTTTTGCTTAACTCAAGTGATAACTCCAACCAGTAATTAAAACATCAGAAAGTTGTGCAGACTGAAAATACATGGACATAATTAATTATTTTTTGTTTACCTGTATCAGTTATTCTGTTTACCTGTATCAGTTTTTCTCTGTTTACCTGTATCAGTTTTCTCTGTTTACCTGTAACAGTTTTCTATGTTTGTCTGTATTAGTTTTTCTCTGTTTACCTGTATCCGATTTTCTCTGTTTGTCTGTATCAGTTTTTCTCTGTTTACCTGTATCCGATTTTCTCTGTTTACCTGTATCAGTTTTTCTCTGTTTACCTGTATCAGTTTTCTCTGTTTACCTGTATCAATTTTTCTGTTTACCTGTATCAGTTTTTCTCTGTTTACCTGTAACAGTTTTCTATGTTTGTCTGTATTAGTTTTTCTCTGTTTGCCTGTATCAGTTTTCTCTGTTTACCTGTATCAGTTTTCTCTGTTTACCCAAATCAGTTTTTCTCTGTTTACCTGTATCAGTTTTCTCTGTTTACCCAAATCAGTTTTTCTCTGTTTACCTGTATAAGTTTGCTCATCGCTGCAGAGTGATTTTTCTTCTTTGCAGGGTTTTTCTCCACTTTGCCTTCAAGCCATTTCAGATCCGCAAATGTCTCTTCAAATTTTTCAAAGTCAAACTGGAATTCAAACACAAATGAAATGTTAGACCAAATTAACTAAGATAGATCGTTAGTGAGCCTACAGCTAAACCAAATTAACTAGGATGGATTCTAAGTTGGCCTACAGTTAAACCAAATTAACTAGAACGGATTAGCCTACAGCTAAACCAAATTAACTAGGATGGATTGTAAGTTAGCCTCCAGTTAAACCCAATTAACTAGGATGGATTGTAGGTAAGGCTACAGCTAAACCAAATTAACGAGGATGGATTTTAAGTTAGCCTACAGTTAAACCAAATTAACGAGGATTGATTGTAAGTTAGCCTACAGTTAAACCAAATTAACTAGAACGGATCAGCCTACAGCTAAACCAAATTAACGAGGATGGATTTTAAGTTAGCCTACAGTTAAACCAAATCAACTAGGATGGATTGTTAGTGAGCCTACAGCTAAACCAAACTAACTAGGATGGATTCTAAGTTGGCCTACAGTTAAACCAAATTAACTAGGATGGATTGTAAGTTAGCCTACAGTTAAACCAAATTAACTAGGATGGATTGTAAGATAGCCTTCAGTTAAACCAAATTAACGAGGATGGATTGTAAGTTAGCCTACAGCTAAACCAAGTTAACTAGGATGGATTGTAAGATAGCCTTCAATTAAACCAAAATAAAGAGGATGGATTGTAAGCTAGCCTACAGTTATAACCAATTAACTAGGATGGATTCTAAGTTGGCCTACAGTTAAACCAAATTAACGAGGATGGATTTGAAGTTAGCCTTCACTTAAACCAATTAACTAGGATGGAATGTTAGTGAGCCTACAGCTAAACCAAATTAACTAGGAGGGATTGTAAGTTAGCCTACAGTTAAAACAAATTAACTAGGATGGATTGTTAGTGAGCCTCCAGCTAAACCAAATTAACTTGGATGGATTGTAAGTTAGCCTACTGTTAAACCAATTAACTAGGATGGATTCTAAGTTGGCCTACAGTTAAACCAAATCAACTAGGATGGATTGTTAGTGAGCCTCCAGCTAAACCAAATTAACTAGGATTGATTGTAAGTTAGCCTACAGCTAAACCAATTTAACTAGGATGGATTGTAAGATAGCCTTCAATTAAACCAAAATAAAGAGGATGGATTGTAAGCTAGCCTACAGTTATAACCAATTAACTAGGATGGATTCTAAGTTGGCCTACAGTTAAACCAAATCAACTAGGATGGATTGTTAGTTAGCCTACAGTTAAACCCAATTAACTAGGATGGATTCTAAGTTGGCCTACAGTTAAACCAAATTAGCTAGGATGGATTGTAAGTTAGCCTACAGCTAAACCAAATTAACTAGGATGGATTGTAAGTTAGCCTACTGTTAAACCAATTAACTAGGATGGATTGTTAGTGAGCCTACAGCTAAACCAAATTAACTTGGATGGATTGTAAGTTAGTCTACAGTTAAACCAAATAAACTAGGATAAATTGTTAGTGAGCCTACGGTTAAACCAAATAAACTAGGATAAATTGTTAGTGAGCCTACGGTTAAACCAAATAAACTAGGATAAATTGTTAGTGAGCCTACGGTTAAACCAAATAAACTAGGATAAATTGTTAGTGAGCCTACGGTTAAACCAAATAAACTAGGATAAATTGTTAGTGAGCCTACAGTTAAACCAAACTAACCAGGATGGCTTTTCAGTTAGCCTACAGTTAAACCCAATTAACGAGGATGGATTGTAAGTTAGCCTATAGTTAAACCAAATTAACTAGGATGGATTGTAAGTTAGCCTACAGTTAAACCAAACTAACCAGGATGGATTTTAAGTTAGCCTACAGTTAAACCAAATTAACGAGGATGGATTGTAAGTTAGCCTTCACTTAAACCAATTAACTAGGATGGATTGTTAGTGAGCCTACAGTTAAACCAAATAAACTAGGATAAATTGTTAGTGAGCCTACAGTTAAACCAAATTAACTAGGATAGATAAGCCTACAGTTAAACCAAATTAACGAGGATGGATTGTAAGTTAGCCTACAGTTAAACCAAATTAACTAGGATGGATTGTTAGTGAGCCTACAGTTAAACCAATTAACTAGGATGGATTGTTAGTGAGCCTACCTTGGCTAATTCTGTCATGAAGATCTCAAATCTGTCAAGGTGCAGTTTGCCGCCGGTATGTAGGTAACCTGGAACATCGATTTTGTTACACATGAAATATTGAACGGGACTGGAATATATTTATAAACATAATGTAACATTTAATGATTTGACTTCTGATATTACTTAATGTCAAGGGACAACTAAAAGCCATGCCAACCATTTTGTATTTCCTCATAGTTTGTTAAAATCTGACCAAGCAGTACTTAAAAAAGTTAAAAAAAAGTTTAAAAAAAAGTTTAAAAAAAAGTTTGAATGATGAATGAATGAATGAATGGCCAGTGATTAATATCACATTGTATAAGTTCCCTTGGTCACTAAGCCCAGATAATCCAACAGAAGCCCTCACCTCCACAGCGTGGTAATACGTTGATATATGTCGACCAGATGAGTGGCAGGGCGTCGTGGTTAATGTGTAAGTTAGGAAGATGAGGTATGAAGTCGTTTCCCACCAAAAAACCCATCATAATCCAGTCATCGATAATCCTTTCTAGATCGTACCCAAAGGGTAGCTTGTCCTGTGGAAAACAATCGTTCCTGCTACATATCTTCAGCATCGGGCAGTAAATCTTGTCATACTCTTAATCTAGTTAGGTAAATATTAGCTTCATACTCTTAACCTTATAAGCTACTACTGTATACTAGAAAACTTTCTCAGCAGTTTAATTTGTTGCCCTCAGTAATGATAGTGAAATTTAAATGAACAACATAATATTTGTAGTAATCAAACACGAAGGGAGAAATTTACACTAGGAAAACATTTGTTTAAGGGGGAAGAGCGTAAGTTTGACTTGGTGGAAGTTTCTTTCACTTCCTATATTCTGAACCTAATAAGGTAAATATTTACTTCCTATTCTGAACCGTACAAGGTAAATATTTACTTTCTATTCTGAACCGTATAAGGTAAATATTTACTTCCTATTCTGAACCGTATAAGGTAAATATTTACTTCCTAATCTGAACCGTACAAGGTAAATATTTACATCCTATTCTGAACCGTACAAGGTAAATATTTACTTCCTATTCTGAACCGTATAAGGTAAATATTTACTTTTTATTCTGAACCATATAAGGTAAATATTTACTTCCTATTCTGAACCGTATAACGTAAATATTTACTTCCTTCCTATTCTGAACCGTACAAGGTAAATATTTACGTCCTATTCTGAAGGGTATAAGGTAAATATTTACTTCCTATTCTTCATCTTACAAGGGAAATCTTTATAGCATACTATGGACTTCATAAATCCCTACAGATAGCGTAATGTTTCATCCTTTTAGTAGAATATCCTCCAACTTTCAATGCATTGACATTTTGCAATGTAAGTTGATGCATCAATGAACTATTGCTGCCAATGACAGCCCTAGATATCGACCCTACTACAGCCTACATCAAACATTATAAATAAGCTCTGTATCAAGGTCATATCTCTGAGCAATCTTCTTCTTAACATCAATATTTCCATGGACTGGTTTTTCTGTCTATCACAAAGGGTGATAATAAGATTATATTCTAAATAATAGAATTATAATCTCCAGCATTCTAAATAATGTTATGACTAACCTTCAACACTGAAAATTCAAAGTCGAGATATTCTCGGAACAAGGACAGATGTAGCAGGTGGAATGTGGTCTCCTCTGGAGTAGACGGTCTGTAACATATATAGAACATATGTTACTGAGTGCTCACCAAGTTGTCAAAGTCGAAAAATTGTGCCAAAACATTTTTCAAATACGTGTTGAACACAGTTAGCTCACATGGTTAGCTGCAAGTGTTTAGTGTAAGGAAATATAACATGGCTATAAAACCTTCATGATTGGAGCTTGGATTTACCAGGCTGAAGCTTTAAGGATTCCAAAGGTTTCTTAATTTGTTTACATTTAACAAGTTCAAAACAAAACGTTGTTAAAACTTTTGAAGACAAACCCTAGGGACTTGATCCCACTATGACAAAAAGTCCCAAAGCTGAAGAAAAACAATTTCCAACAATGCCTCGAGTCAAAAGCAAATCTCAAATTTCTACAAAATAATCTTGTATTTATTAAGATTCATCAGTTTGGTGTAAATAATATATCATATATTATTATTAGTTTTTTGTGAAAGCTAAAAAATTAATTTTCATTTACTGTTTGTGTTCAAAACAAACATAGCATACATAACACAAACAGTAAATGAAAACATGACCTTTTCCCTTTGTCAAGCAAAGAGTGCACATGGCTCCTATCTCTACTTTAAACCACCGAAAGGATCCTTCCAGTGACTTAGGAGAAATAGTAATAATAAATTTCAAACTTTCTTAATTCACGGTGGCTGCCTAGTGTTTAAAGTCAAATTAACAGCTATGGTCATGTAACGACAGGACAAAAGTCAATCTACATTGTAAGTGTGAAATTAAGAAATTATACAATATTTCCAGAACCAAATATTTCATGCCACTCCACTATGTAGTGAGGGCATCAAAATACCTTTAATACTTACTTCTTTGCATCCTTTTTACCACCAAATTTGACTTCTTCCCGAAGTAAAGAGAAATGAGGCTCATGGCATGAAAGACCAAGCATCATCTGTAAAAAGACACCAAAAAAATCCTATTTATATAAACTGTATATGAACTGATCTTGTTTTCTGACCATTGAAACATTAGGTTTTTGGTATCAAGTTTATGGTACAGGTATCCAACACAATGAAATGACATAAAGATTGAATCCATGTATACGTAATAGGCTGCAGCCTCTCATTTTTGTCATTTTTTTTTTTGTCATTTTTTTTTCGATAGTCATCTAGAAATTCTATCTTATCTCACTTCAATACAAAATATTTACATTAGCTCTGCATCCTTCCATTGCAATGCATTGAGATGGCAAATGTTGTTATGAGACTATAACAACGTTTGCTATTGTACCGTCATCAATCTCTTTTGTGACGTCGTATTAATTTCATTGGTGTGAACACATAATTTGCTGTCCAAAGAACTGGTCGAAATAACTACTCGATTAAAATGTATTTATGAATAATGAATATTTTAGCATTTTTTTTGCCAGGCTTTATTAAGTTTGTCATCAATAGGAATGTGTGTTATAAGACCATAACAACATTTTCTAAAACATTCATTGCTTAAAATTCTTTAGGAAATATTTTACTTTTCAAATAAAATACTTTATTTACCAGATCCGCGTCCAGGCCATACAAGCAATGTCGTGTGTTGTGGTCATAATTTGGCTTGGATTTCTCATGACGTATGTAATCCATGATTTTATGTTCCCCTTCTCCTGGAGTCTACAATATCAAACAAGATTTTATGTTCCCCTTCTCCTGGAGTCTACAATATCAAACAAGATTTTATGTTCCCCTTCTCCTGGAGTCTACAATATCAAACAAGATTTTATGTTCCCCTTCTCCTGGAGTCTACAATATCAAACAAGATTTTATGTTCCCCTTCTCCTGGAGTCTACAATATCAAACAAGATTTTATGTTCC